TCAAGTGTTGGAGCACCGCCATGTTTATTGGCGACCCACCGTTGTCGTGTTTCTTGACACAAAAGGTGCCTTCGATTCGGTCGATCGATGTTCCCTTTGGGACTGTCTGCTGAGGAAAGGTGTGCCTGATAAATATGTAAACATTATCAAAGCGTTGTACGCGCATAGCTCGGACAGAGTGAGGGTTTATGGCAAACTGTCGCCACCCTTCAGTATCACCAGCGGTGTGAGACAAGGATGCCCGCTGTCACCTTTCCTCTTCAACTTCGCTATTGATGAAGTCATGGAAACAGCGTTCGCTGGACACGACCTAGAAGATGTGGGTTTACTTCCTGGTGAGCGACTTTTTGACTTGGAGTATGCGGATGATATTGCCCTAATCTGTGACGGCTCCCAAACATGTCAAACAGCACTGGACCGATTAGCACTGGCTGTCAATCATTTTGGGCTATGCTTTGCTCCATCGAAATGCAAAGTACTTCTCCAAGATTGGCAGGGACCCAACCCTGCGCTAACGCTTGGGGATGATCTGCTAGAAGTCGTTCAGGAATTCAAGTACCTGGGCAGCTATATTAGCACCCGTGGGATTGAAGATGAGGTTACGAACCGTATAGCAAAGGCTCGAGGTGCTTTTGCCAATCTCCGCCACCTGTGGCGCAGACGTGACATTACTCTCGCCCTGAGGGGCAGAGTTTACAACACAGCTATCCGTTCAACTCTCATATATGGCTGTGAAACTTGGCCCATCAGGTCGACAGACATGAAGAGGCTCGTCACATTCGATCATCGCTGCCTTCGCAGCTTAGCTCATGTCTGGTGGGAGCACCGCGTGAGCAATAGTTGGGTTCGGCGTCGTGTATTCGGTTTAGGAAGAGCGAGTGAACCACTCAGCACTGTTATTTCATGCACCAGGCTCCGGTGGCTGGGCCACGTGTTGCGCGTGTCAGCACTCCGACTACCACGTCATGCGCTGTTTGCGCGACCGTGTGAGTGGAAGAAGAGGGGAGGCCAAGCGATGACTTGGGCAAAAGGAATGAAGCCCCTCCCTTCGAACGACGTCTCCCAATTGCCGCGGTGGGTACCGAAAGATGCTGAGAACGTTCGGTAGGATACACTAGTTGACATGGCAAGGAGCCGACCTGATTAGCGTTTGTATTGAGTTTCTTTGTCCCCACAAATCCTGCTTATCTTCCCTTTTCTACCAAGTTCTCACAAGTGGTGATTAATATAACACCAAGCATCATAGCACGTTTTTTGTTGTTATTTCATGATCTATAATGTTTTGAAAGTCGTTTTTTCTCAAATAGCTTCTGGTTATTGTGGCACATCAGCTGAAGTGTGTCTATTATTTTCAGCCAAGGTGTATTGACGATGGTGAACGGTGCCACGTTTATTTGAATACGCAGCAGTTCGGAAGTCCATAGTCCGTGTCATCAGCTGTCATCTAATATCGATTTAAAAAGAAAAGACATTGGCAGTACCGACGCTTCGCTGCCACGCAACCATCACCAGATGGGCGTGGGCTAAGAATATTACGAGGGCAGCCCGGCCTCTACGCAGGCTGGAACGTGCGCTCTCGGAGTACAAAGCAAACTTGGAATCCTTAAGGCTACGAGCCGGCTCGTCTGTCAATAACAAAACGAAGAATCGATGACCCACTATGATGGCTTTCCTTAAAAGGAAAGCAACATTCATCTCTGCTGACGGAAACAAGTTGTGGCATCGCCTAACCGTGAATGGTGTGTCTAGTAAACTTCATTAGAGTTTGCACCCACTACCGTGACTCTCGAGGTCAGATAAGGGTCTACGAGAAACTGTCTCCTGAGTTTCCCACGAAAAGTGGGGTTTGTCGGAGTTGTTCTGTAGATCCTTTCCTCTTAAACAATATCATTTATATGATTATAATTGAGTCGGCTCTTGCAGATTCTTCTGGAGTGGAAGGTCTTCCAGGTGACCGACGAACAGCTCTTGAGTATGATGACGACACGACTCTCCTTGGGTCTGAAGCAGTGGCCATCAAATCATTACTGAAACAGGCTGACACGTATCGCTACACGTTTCGGCATGTGCTCTGCAAAGTACTATTGCAAGATTTGACCGGTGCGCCAAAAGCCTGAACTATTAGTGAGCAGCTACTGGAAGTGGTCAATCAGTTCAACTATCTTGTTGGCTGTGCCACCTCTGGTGGGCGCACCATTGAGGAAGTTACTTCGCGTATCAACAAGGCCCGTGTGTCTTTCCAGAGGCTCAATCATCTATGGAAAGAGCGGGATATCAGCTTATCAGTGAAAGGGTGTGAATGCTGCAACAAGACCGGTGTTACTTTCCGGATTACAGACCTGGTCTATTCACAGTGAAGACATTAAACGTTTGGCCGTGTTTCACCATCTGTGCTTGAGGAACATTGCCCGCATCTGGTGGGAACACCGGGTGAACAACGCTAGGGTCCGTCAGTTGGTTATCAGCAAGAAAACTTCTGGCGCCTCACTTGAGTGTTTGCTGAATAGTAATCAATTACGTAGGCTAGGTCATGTCTTCCGTATGCCCGTTGACCGACTTCCTCCACGTGCATTACACACCGTGGCCGCGCAAAGTTGAGCTAAACCGTAAGGTATCCAGTCCACAACGTGTCATAGAGGCAAGAAGAAGTTAACCAAGAAAAGTGGCCAGGCTGGTGTATGTCGCCTTCATGGATTGGGTCCGTGCGCCTGGATGGTCTCCACCAGTGTTCGGAGAACCTTTCAGACATAACGCAGTCGCGTAGTCACTGGCATTCCTGCATTCGATTTCTTGCATCTAGCTGTAAATCTTGGTTCAACCCCAAACAGTTTTGTGCTTTTCTGTCCGGATTTCACTTTCTTCGAATTGTATTCGACCTTATTTGCTTGCCTTATTTATTGATATTCTGGCCACGTGAGCCGTGGCAAGGGGATCACCGAACTTGGACTTGAGCTGAACATATGATCATTGAAGACTGTAACTGCGAAGCATAACAGGGCCGAAAGTTCACCCAGCTGTAAATAAGCAATGAGCCGGCCCGTGGCCTAAAGGTAACAAGCTTGTCTTGTAATCCGACGGCGCGAGTTTGAGCTTGCGGAGAGGCAGGACGACCCACGCAATATCACTAGCCCACGTTCGACTAGTGGTGGTTGCGCGGCAGCGAAGCGTCGGTACTGCGTACCGGTGTACTCCTGATACATTTTAAATAAGATAGGAGTCAGCCCGTGTCACTAGAAATTTGACCGGCGACTTCCAAATGTGAAAATTACACGACTCCTGAGACCTTTGTTAAGGTCCCCTAATCTTTCTCTTAAACTGTTTAAAAATCAGTCAGATATCAAAGGTCTAATTGCGATTCACATATGGAAAGGAGTATAACAGGTGTTCGAAGTAACGCTGCTATAAGAGTAGTATGAAATACGGAAAGCGATTTGCACAGATAAGTATTCTACTTGCTTATACCGCGTTACTTTCTCAAGAGCGTAGATATTAGTGATTTAGTTTGCAGGGATCATACGAATGCGATCTCTTGATCACAAGTGTTAAACAGTGGGATATTCGTGTTCTTACACTGTTAAAGTGCTAATCCACCTGACGACCCGCTGTTATGCGATCATGTGCTTGAGGAAGGGGTTGTGAACGAGAGCTCGAAGTGCCGCTCCACCAAAGTGGCACATCATTCTCCAGAGTATCTCCCGGACCCTTTGTTTGCTGTCAATGGCGGTAATCGGAGCACTATAGGCTATGATACAGCAGTATTGTTCTCCAGATTCGTTGCAGCAAGATCCAGTCATGTGGCAACCAAATGTCCGGAAAATGGTCTGAACAGTCGATTCACCATATAGAAACGCAGCACCAACCAATATTAATAGCAAACACTTGGCGCTTCTAATCCACGACAGTGAAATCCGAAAAATATGTAATTTGAGCAGCAATGCCATGAATGATGACGACAGCCGATGCGATTAAATTACTGGGATATGGCGAGACATATTTTCCACTGCGATGTATGGTATCGCTTCTTTAGGGACAAGATTACCCCCAACGGACACAGCTCTCTTAGCTAAATCACCAACTGAGTTCAAGCGCAATGTGACTACTTGAAAATCCTTAAGTCTCCCACACTAGCTGCTTGATACCAGTAATTGGAAAGCTGCTTACAATACCATAACATCATTGGCGGCTTAGCGAGTCAGTCGTGCCTTCTTACCCTGTACGGTAATGAGGTGCATAGCAGTGGAGAACGGGATGTGTCCTCTGAGAGACAGCAGACTAGTCAAGCAGATCGCCACTGTCACCCACCACCTAGCAGTGTAGATCGCTAGCTGCACAGATGAGAAAGGTGTGTAAGACTAAAAAAGTACAGGGAGACGAAACAGTTGTCGAACCTTCCCCTTTACTCGGCAATTTCAAAATATCTCTGACGGTAAACCAGTACTCTGACAAATTTACGAGCGGTTCCGGGACGTCAAACCTCACTCGGGTGAATACGCTTTTGACGCAGGTGTGCTAATGCAAACAAGCTGACAAGCATCGTTTGCCTGTCCGCTGTAGTTCAACTGCACCAACTGTCGCCTGTTATACATCCCATCAGTTCGATCCACTTCAGTGTACGGCTGAAGTGCGTTTTCAGCACGCGGACCGAAGGGCATCACCTGAAGTGCTTAGAGGAGTAGTCGCAGATGGACTAAGACACACGCCAAATGTACGAAACAGCGTTAATTAGCGGTTTTGTGAACTGGAACAGAGTAGCACACATATCTTTCAAATTCAAAGGGATCTGGATGTATGACCATATTTTTACGAAACAACAACTAGAGCCACCGGTGGTATCCGACGTGACGATAGCACTGGCTGCAACATGATGTGGAGTACCCCCCCATTGCCAGGCAGAGGACAAGAATGACCTCAGATGTGCGATTCCCTTTGCCGTGTAGTATAGGATGATTCGAAGATAACTAGTACAAAGCAAGCGCCATCAAAACTGAACCAAAACATACATTTCATCAGTTGAGAAAACGGTCAGGCCGATCGCCAGTGCATGTTCCTTTCCTTCTGCTGTGATGGCCACAACAGAATCCTTTGGCACTTGGGTCATGCGGGCCCCAGGAGATGTGAGACCAGGACACATTATGTTAGAACCATTCAGGACATGTTTGATAGCTCCACGGTCAACTTGAAGGTGAGGAAGGATGAAAGGATCTGCAGAAAAACACGAAAATGACTCTCATTGAAATGTTGCCAGCCGTGAGGCAATGCAAGTGGAGCATTAATTGATAACCGTTATACACGTTAGATAGAGGTGGGAAATGCTTCAGCTATTATGCAGCAATACATAGGAAAGTAAGAAAAGATAACGGGGGCATAGCAACTGGGCCACTGAAAACAAATGGACATCGTTTCGGAGAGCTAACAGCCGGCTAGTTGCCTTAAAAAGTTGTGTCCGAAATGAGGTCGTGGTTGGAGGGGATGGACAAAGGAACTCACAACACAAATGCCATTGAGGTCGGCTCCTAGCCATATCAATAAGTGTATCCAGCCAAACGTGCTCGTCTTTCGAGTTACAACCAGGAAGCAGAAAGGCTCCAACCGAGACCAACTTCGAACTACGAGCCTAATAATTTATAAAGGAACAGGTGTTTAAAATGCATCAGGCATAGGGAGGGTGGCTTGAATTCGACATGCAAGAGTGCGCAGTAAATGTCACTTTGTACGGTCAACCAAGGAAACAAATACATTTTCAGCAGTGCGTTATTTAAAAAGCCGAAGAAGTACACACACGCACGCGTATCAAGTCATCTAACGTCCAGTGGAGGAAATATTGCACTGAGTAAAAACCAACCACAATACCATGCACGGATAATGCAGCAGGTGGTCCGAAGGATGTCATCGCACACCGAGCTAACCCTGGTGAGTAACCATGTAAACCTCACTTTTCCGGCTCCCATCCGGTAATCACCAACCAGCCATCTCAGCCCGCAACTATGCAAATTGAGTTGGAGTCTCAGATATCAGAACCGACCAGATCAGGCACCGAAACTATAAGAAATAGTAACAGTGAACGTGGCGTATTAGTCACCATCGTGAGTCAGGTGTTCACACAACCATCCGAGCGCATTACATGCAGACTACCTTTGTCTGTTGATAGAAAAATGGTTCTTTTTCTGCCCGATGTACCAACGATACGAAGCCTAACCTGAACTATAAACTACGAACAAATGAATCTAGACTTAACGCACGGTCTAGGCAGAAGAATAAAACGAAGTATTCTGTAAACGTGTTTCTATAAGGCATATAAAATACAGTACATGACTTAAGAATAGGTTTTGCAATCGTACTACAAGAGGGCAGAGATCGTACACCGTGCTGTGATATGAGAGTATTTGGACAGTGTCACAGTAACATAATAATATGAATGACCTTTAAACGTCAAGGATAAGTATGATCGAGTGCAAGGAATAAAGATAGGATACGGTAACCGATCGTATGGCATAGGAAAGCAATGTAAAATGAGCAGAATACTTAGGCAATAGATACCGTATCCTCATGTAAGCAATCCAGGTTGGGGGACATGTAAGTTCTTTCTGGACTTCACATCCGATGCCTACACTAAATGGACTGAGGCATGTCTAGTGATACAAGCTAATTCGGAGAAAACTGATCCGTGCATCCGAACATGCTTAAATGCATTCGTTATGCCAGAGACATTAGTGATAAACAACGGCATGCTACTCGAAAGCATTAAGAGCTCGGAAAATTGGTAGCACAGGTTGGTAATTCAGATGCTCACTTCTTCGCCGAGCTGGGAAATCTCTTTGCAAACGTTTCACCGCCATGCGTGGCGGCATCATCAGTGCGTCGAAATGTGCAGTGTAATCTCGCTGATTGAATTGTCCATCCATGATCGACATTCAGGTGACTTTTCGAAAGTGACGGCTTCGATTTGTGTCCCGTGATGGGACATAAACTGTTAAATTTGAGATACAGTCTCGTAAAAGTAGGCTTACGTTACGCCAATCGAGTGAGTGTACCATGCAGATTTCTTTTCAGATTCACATCCGAAAAATGGAAAGTGTTATCTGTTTCGTTTTCCATTGTAAATTTGATCGAAGAATGGCATTGGTTGAAGAAGATCAAGTAAATCTGCTGCTTAATGGGCGCTAATAACTACAACAAATGAATTATCCAGGTAACTGCAGTACAGATGCACGTGTTGTATAAAAGGAGGAAGTTCGGTGTTCTCCAAGTGGCCTACTAAAATATCAGTTAGGACCGGCCCAAGTCGGCTGCCCATGGCCACGGCGTCTATTTGTCGGTACACTAGTCCAGTGTATTGGAACTGTATATCTTTCGTGCAAAGGCGGATTAGAGACTTGAGATGATTTGCCTGAAACCCCACCTTGTGTGCATGAGTACCAACGATGTTGAGAGTCTCTTCTAAAGGGACATTGATGAACAATGAGCAGACGTCGAATTAAACTATATGCTTTCCATTTACGTTTTCAACAAATTCAAACGTACCCTTGAGGGTACAGCCGGTTAACTCGCATCGGATAGGTTCGATAAGTTAGGCTAACCATCGTGCCAACTTGTGGTACGGTGCACCCAGCATGGAGATTATTGGGCGCAGTTTCTATCCCATAAACTACAAACGATCTCTCGTAAGCACTATTTTCGCAACACCTCGTAATATATGCTCCGGAGGAACAATTGACAATGAGCTACAACATGTCTCAGCAACACTACGAGAGAACGGGTATCCCGAGAGGTTCATCAAGCGTCACTTAAAGGAAAAACAATCGAGAAAAGTAACGCCGACGTTCCAAGGAAGAAGACATTCATCACGCTGCCACTCAACTGGAACCAAAATGATAGGCGATTTCGATATCGTCTTCGCCAGTCCATTAAGAAATGCTATTATGCGGCCGAGCTGGTCCTACTCCACCAAGTTAAAAGGTTGTTCTGTAAATCCGACCTGGACAGGCCAGACTCTACAGTTACCGCCTCCTGTATCTACCTCTTTCATTGTACTTGCGGTAGCAAGTACGTGGGCTAAACTGTGAGGAGGCTGTCCAGGAGGATTGCAGAACATGTCCCACGTAACCTGGTGGCAAATGACCCTAAGCTGCCCGCAACCTCTATCAGCCAGCATATCCTCGATTGCCCGAAGTGCCAAGACCCAAGGGGATCGTTCACGATCCTTACTCGTCAGAACACGACTTGTCTGCTCCAATTTGCAGAAGCTTCAGCGATTCGTCGGCTGAAACCCAACTTATGTAAGCAGACGGAGTTTGTGACTACCCTCGCCTTGCCCTGGTGAGGTTATCGATTAGTTTTATTTAAACAGGACCATTTCTCAGAATGTCTTTCTGATTGTCTGTACACAGCTGATGAGAAGACATGGAATGCCTGAAATCATATTATTCTGTTGAAATATTGTTTTTTCTTGCTATTCTGGAGTTCGTGGATGGAAAATTCGGTATGATATGAATATTAGAATTGAGCAAGACGGCAAGATGGAGAAGTAATATATTAATTCACTGGAATACTAACAATTGAAAGAGGAATATAAACATTTGGCTCCTCTACTTTTCTACATTAAAGAAAGTTAGGCTGGAGATTTGAAAGGTTAGTACAACCGATCTTTTGTTTCAATACAGAGTGTTGTGTCGAATGAACTTTCCTTGACCATAGATACCAATGAATGCGACATCGATAACAGATAAAATCAAATGGCGCAGCTGAAGATCAACAAGATTAAGACAAGCAAGTTATAAGCAGTAATGTGGAACCTAATGGCGGCCGCCAATTCGCAAATGAATAAACATAGAGCCATCCAATATCATGAAAATGGAATGGTACACCTTCTGGTCATTTTTGCACTGTTTTTTTCTGTTTTCAATTGTTAAGACACTAATTTTCCAATGATTTCGATTACGCGCCATATATGGAAGCGTTTTGAGCTATAGACATTCCACCTCTTTGAATCCATAATCAAGTACACATGTGAATTCAATGGCGACTAGACTTAAAGTCAGCGTTTTCATATGCTGCCAATTAACAACTAGTGAACACCTACAAGATAAGAGCGTGAGGTCACCCGCACCTATTCAGTTTTGAACCAGTGATTCATGGATTACAAACTAGATGCCTGAATAAGCCCGTCACTTGTAAGACGAAAACCAAAGATGAAGAGCCAACCGTGAAAGAATGAGTAGTGTCCTTCAGAGAGGAGTGAAGTAGGTACTTGAAGACCGACTTGCTGGAGAAGAATGGCGCCCAGCACCAAATACCCGCCTCAATGAATGACGGTGACCGTACATTCTGTTCAACGCAGTACGGTACGCCGCAGAACAGTGGCGGTTATCAATCATTATCCCCAGATATTCGAGTATGGAGGTATAAGTTGTGTGGCCGTAGCTTTACATTGCTGACACACAGTTCGGTGTTCACTTGTACCGGTATAATAAGAATGGGTTCTTCTTAGACGGAGAAAACAGGAAATAGACATTTAGACTTCACCAGGAAACTAAGCGGATTCATACAGACTGTAAATGATTACCGTCACCAACTGAAAAGCCGCTAGGAATTACGTCGTTGACACACATCATAGTACTATCGGAAAGATAAATTCCAATTGATGTGTGCAACACTTTACAGAAAAATGTGCACTGTGTTTATTCCTGTCTTATTACCAATAGAAATGACCGCAAAGGTAGTTGCCCCGAAAGGCGGTCGACTGGTCAAGCTCAAATACGTACAATAAACCCTATCTGAGACAAGACTGTCGTCACACAAGCGCTGCTGAATGAGCCGAGGCGCAGAACTGCACGTGTGAGCAGACGCTTTGAAATTATGAAAAGTGAGATACTATTTCAGGTTGTCATCCAGCAACCATTTAAAGTAGCCGATCTGCCCACGCGTTCATACAACTGTAACACATATTGGTCGAAAAACCGTGCGAGTCTGTTAAAGCCATGTAATTTTTTGAAGCCTAAAATCAGAAAGCGGAATGAATCCGAACATGAAATGCACACAACTGGTTCTCATAATTTCAATAGGTCTTAACACACTTCAGGCTCTTGCTCTTGACCCCTCATTTTGTATTCAGCTCCACCGGCCATCCAACAACTCTGGTTTTCTCACTTATTCCCCATACCACCGGTATCAATGCATCAGGGTCATTTGAAATACACTGTAAC